GCAGGGGTCCAACTCTGTCGGGGGTCTCCCCGCTGGGCTGCAGGGGTCCAACCTTACTTCTGCCTAGTGAGCGCTTAGCGGGGAGCTGGGACTCGCAGCAGGCCCTCGGACCCAAGCAACAACATGGCCAGCGCCCCCAGGGCCCGCACCATTGCCCTGCCTCTCTCGGAGCTCCGGCACCTACGCGGCGGGCGTGCCCTCCCGTTGGTATGTGCTCATAGACACGCGGGGTGTGGGATGTTGGGAGCACGGTCGGGGCGCCACCAGGTGCAGCGAACAGAACCGACTGGAGTATCACACTGCCGTGAACAACAACAAGAAGAGAGCAGGAGGCAGCTCGGCGCAGGGCAGGGAGATGTGAGCTGGCCACGAAGGGGGACGGGGCAGAGGGTGGGCCAGGAGCCACCGGGAAAGGAGACAGACCCCTAGAAGGGGAACGAGCCTTGGCCACAGAGAGGTCCTGGGGAGCTGGGATTTTCCTCGGAACACTTTCGGAATCCAGCTAATGGGGGAGGTCAGCATCTGTTTTACCTATTGCAAAAATCACCAACTGTGAGAAATAACCAACTTGTCTAGTTTAGGAAGGCTGCTGTGGGGAGGGGAAGCGAAAAGAAAACAAACCCCAAAGTGAGAGCGCAGGAGTCGGCCAGGGCTCGGAGAGGGGTGGGCTGCAGGCTCCCTCGCAGGCAGCCCCCCCACCCCCGCTGTGGCTTACCTTGCTGAAAGCCTGGCCGGGCTCTTGAGGGGAGCCCTAGACTGACCCTGTGGGTGGGGGACGGAGTTAGGCTGGACCCTTCCTGTCCTCCAGGCAGACCACCCGGCACCCTGGGGAGCCCCTGGTGGGAGGGGTGTGACTGGCTTTGAGAAGGGACCCATGGGATTGCAGGGTGGTGGAGCCGGGCGCTGCCTGAGGGAGGGCTCGCTCAGCACCCAGGCTGTGGGGAGACCTGAGGGGCAGGAAGTCTGGGCTTGGGCTGCCCCGTGCCTCAGTTTCCCCATGCATGATGCCGCTGGTTCTGATGCTCGGGTATCAAGTTAGACGGGGAGGGGGAGGGGGATAGCACTAAGGCAAACTTGGGGTGCTCTGCTAAGGAGTCCTGACCTTCTGCCCACTTCCTGTTTCCCGGATGTGTCCCCTTCTGCTGATGGGGATTCTGGGGGCGCTCGGGTGGTGGGCACATCTCAGCCAGGACAAGGAAGAGTTTCTCGGTGGAAACCAATGACTTGGTGCTGCCTGCAATGCAGCCAGGTGCCAGATGGGTTTGTCTGCCCGTTTCACGGTCAACGGTCAAGGCCCTCTCCACCGGGCAGCCTCCGGTCATCACGCAGCTCACGCCAGCCGGCCGCAGGACACCTGCTGCCCCCGTGGCCGGGAACACCCCCTGCCAGCGCCCCAGGCCGGTGTGTCGCTCAGCAACCTGCTTCCCTCTCAGTTCCGGGTGGAGCACACCTGTTTGCCGGGCTCGTTTGCCTATTTGCTTTTTTAACATGATTTATTTATTTTTATTGGAAAGGCAGATTTACACAGAGGAGAGACACAGGGAAGGATCTTCCGTCTGCTTGTTCGCTCCGCAAGTGGCCACGGCGGGTCCGAGACTGCTCTGTGCGTACGTGCACAGGTGTGCAGCACTGTCTGAAGTCACTCCTCCAAAGGACCTTCACTTTCTTCTTTTTAAAAAGATTTACTTATTTATTGCAAAGTCAGATATATAGAAAGGAGGGACAAAGAGGAAGCTCTTTCATCCGATTCACTCCCCAAGCGGCCATAATGGCCAGAGCTGAGCCAATACAAAGTCAGGAGCCAGGAGCCTCTTCCGGGTCTCCCACGCGGGTGCAGGGTCCCAAGGCTTTGGGTGGTCCTCCACTGCTTTCCCAGGCCACAGGCAGGGAGCTGGATGGGAAGAAGAGCTGCCGGGATTAGAACCTGCACCCATACATAGGATTCAAGGCAAGGACTTTAGCCACTAGCCCACTGTGCCAGGCCCGGACCTCCACTTTCAGATCCTCAGGTGTGGATGCCTCCCTCCCCTGCCCTGCCCCCTGTCACCATCCTGATGTGGCTACGGTGACAGGGGTCTCTGGACGCCACCCTGGCCAGGACATGGAGTTGGGCTGCACAGGACGGAGACTCCTTCAATTGCCCACACGGATGCAGCTTACAGGGTCCCAGCAGGCTGCGACGCCTGGGGCGTCCGGAGGCTCTCACAGCCTTCAGGGAGAGACGCCCAGGGACCCATACGCAAGGCAATGGCAGGGGCTGGAAGGCGAGGCTGCTGGTGTTGCCGGCCAGGCCGAGGGAGGGTGGGGAGTGAAGCAGAGGGAGGGTCGGCAGAGATGTGGTGGGGCAGAGGTGTGCCCTGACTTGGAGGAAGCCGTGTGTGGCTGGAGGGCAAGGCAGGTGGTGTCCGGCCTTGCAGGCTGTGGGCGGGAGAGGAGGGCTGGGTCAGGGTTCGCGCAGGGCACACAGAGCTGGAGGTGCTTGTTAGACCAGAGGCCAGGGTGGTGGCTCCTGCGTTAGGGCCGTGCGCTCAGGGGAGACGGAACTAGAAGGAAATTCTATGTGGAATAACACGGATAACTCAGGGAAGGGGCACGGTATTACAAAGCTGCATGGGACCCCAAAATGACATGGCGAGTCGTCCGCCTGTAAGCACCAATATCCCACAAGGATGCCGGTTCTAATCCTGGCAGCTCCACTTCCCATCCAGCTCCCTGCCTGTGGCCTGGGAAAGCAGTGGAGGACGGCCCAAAGCCTTGGGACCCTGCACCCGTGTGGGAGACCCGGAAAAGGCTCCTGACTCCTGGCTCAGCTCTGTCCGTTGTAGCCATTTGGGGAGTGAACCAGCAGATGGAAGATCTTTCTCTCTGTATAAACCTGCTTTTCCAATAAAAATAAATAAATTTTTAAAAATGACATTTGTGCAAGAAGCTTCCTGTTAAACCCCATTCCCAGCGTTTTCCTTTATCTGAAAAGCACAGCAATGGCGAGGGCGAGACGGGCCTTCCGTGCTCACTCTGCAACAGCCGAGCTGGGTTGGAGCGGGGGGACAGAAGCCCTGGGCCAACCTCCGCGGCCTGGGCAGGGGCACTTTCGGCAGGAGGCCGGAGTGCAAGTGGAACAGCCGGGACCTGCACCTGTGCTCCAGCTTGGACAGCGGGCACTGCGGGGTGGGGGCTTGGCCGCCACCCAGCACGCCCTGCTCCTCGGGGCCTTTCCTGACCACTACAAGCACGGGGCCAGGCCCTTGAGGCCACACTCCGCAGCGCCCGGCCCAGAACTCCTGGTCACTGTGCCTCCCCGCTGGCAGCTGCTGTGTGCCACGGTGCCCAGGTTTGCGTTCCACGCAAGGGCCACACGGTCCAGCTCTGGGCCCGTGTCCTCGCTGGCCTGGGACTGTACAGGACACCACTGTCAGCCCCCCAGCTGTGGGTCCCGTCTCCGTCAGGACGCGGGAGGAGCCCAGGGGCCCTCGCTCCTGGAGACTGGGCAATCACTCTTCCGCCTCCAGGGAGTCCTCAGCCTGGGCTCCTCCTCCAGCTCACAGCCGTCCTTATTGCTGTGGCAGTTGGGCGTGCGGCCTGGGGGGCTTCTGGATCCAGTCCTCCCCATGTGAGGCAGGGACTCATCCTTCCTCCCCGCCCAGGAAATGTTTATGGGCGAGGAGGCCTGGCTTTAGGGGCTCCCTGGCCTCACGCTGGCGGGGGGGCCCACCCGGCACTGGCGGCCGGCCCAGAAAGGCCAGGGTGGGTGGGCGCCAAGTGTGGCCGGATGCAGAGACCGGGAGGTGGGTTGTGCCTTTGGAGGGAGGGCCATAGGGACCTGGGCAAGTGCTAGCTCAGTGCTTCCACCTGGGGATGGCCAGGACAGGTGATACAGGGCGGGGCTTGCAGCCAGGAGCAGGAGGAGGCCACTCCTTGCCAGCCAGCATCCTGAGAGCCCAACCATGGTGGGCTCTGCCCCCTGCCGGCCATCGGGGGACAGACCAGGCAGGAGCCTCGGGTGCGTGCTGTGGGCAGTGGGGAGACCAGGTGTGCAGGTCACTGTCCTGCAGAGCCTGAAGCAGGCAAGGTGGAAGGTGGCTCAGTGGACACAGAGGCAGGAGAGCACCAAGAGGGGCCCAGAGCATCTGCGGTCAGCAGGGGACAATGGGTGACATGGGAGAGGGACTGGGCTCTGCAGTGCCCAGTTGGAGTTGGGGGACAGTGGCGGGGCGGGGGCTGAGGCCACAGTAACAAGGGGGGTAGTGAGGGCTGGGGCCCCCTGCTGCCCACTCCCGCTGACCCAGGTCCCGGTCAGGGGAGCCCCTGCCCGGGCTGTGGTGCACAGCTCTGCCCCCCTGGGTGGGGCCTGGGAGCCCTAATTTATGACCCATCGGGGCGTGCTGGAGCCTGCTGGCTTTCCTTTGCGGCTGCCAGCAATGCCGCGCCAGTTCTGGGGAAAAGGCGCCTGGAGCCGGGTCGGGACCGCGCCAGCATTCCGGGGCCCCCTAAATCACTCGGCTGACAGGGAGCGGGTGGTGATGGCTGTGAGGCACTGCCACGGGCCCCCGCCCCTCACCTGGCTAACCCTGTCACCTTCCTCCCCAGCCCCCTACCCCCCATCCCACAGGGTCTGGGCCAAGCCATGCAGGGCTCTCCGCTCCAATGCCCAGGAATTTGGAGCCGGGCTTGTGCGTGGGGGCCTGTGTGTGTTTGCCACACTGTTGGCTTTGGGGACAGGCCCGGAGTGCAGATGGCTGGTCACACGCAGCGGGGAGGGCCCGGTCTACACTCGAGGGTGGGTCCGCGTGTGGACTCCTGCCCAGCTGTGCACAATGGCCAGTGTACACCCCTGGCCAGACCTGCCCCTCCAGTGTACCTCCGCTCTGGCCCCTGCCTGACACCCGCTCACTTCTGCCAGGGACAAGCTGGCGCCCTCAGCCTTGTCGGGCCCGGCTGGCGCCTGCATGTGCCATGCAGGCTTATCTCACAGGGTGGCTCCTGGGGACAGACGCCCGACACACGCGTACACACAGGGTTTATTTCCAGCCGCACATGTGCCCGCCTGTCCCAGGGCTCGCAGTCGGCGGTGGTCACACCTTGGGGCTTGGAAAGAGCTGCCAGCCTTCCAGCTGGCCCATCTTGACCAGGGCGGCCATGGTGCCTAGGTACACGCAGCTGGTGGCTCCGATCCCATAGCTGTGAGCTGCGGGAGGGGAGGGGGGCGATGTCAGTCACTGGCAGCCGCGGCCCGTGCCCACCCCCGAGCCACATGGACAGCAGTGGTGCGAAGGCCCTGGTGGGACTGAGTCACCCCAACTTCCAGCAGGCGCGGGAGCAGGTGTGGGCGGGGGAGCCGGCTGTGCACAGCCCAGCAGCCCATCGCACTCCCTCCCCTGTCCCACTTCCCTGACTGGGACAGGGAGGCAGGGGAGGGGGTCCCCCAACCTCCACAGGGCTCCTGGTGAGAAATGGGGCCCCCACGGCCTCTCTGGTGTTGCTGTCGTCCACCTTGGGGGCATCTGGCCTCCACCTGCCCCCACAGGCCCTGGGAGGGCAGAGGAAGCTCCCCGGCTTCCTCCCACCGCTGTCTACAAGGCCGACCTGGAGCCACTGCCCGGGGGTGGGGCGGAGAGCAGCCCGGGCCCTGCACTGCTCTGGGTGCTGGGAGAGGCCTGGCACTGGTGGGGGGGGGGTGGGAGCTGGGTGAGCGGGCATCTTGGCATTCCAGCATTGACACGGCACATGCAAAGTCCCCGGGGCCGAGCGAGAGCCAGCGGGGTCGTAGGGTGGTGGCCTAGCAGTTTTGATGCGACCCCACCCCCCAGGCTGGTGCAGCTGGGACAGGCCCAGGCGGGGGTCAGGGCTCACTGTGACCACTCACTGCGTGCTCCCAGGACCAGGCCCCCGGCACAGCCCCCGATGAAGTAGTTCAGGGGGTCGTCCGGCTTCTCGCGGACCTGGGTGCTGACGCACGACGCCAGGCCGAATATGGCTCCGATGGCAGCTGCGGGAGATGAAACTGTCGGTGAGGGGACCGGAGCGGGAGGGACCCCCCTCGAGGAGAAGCCAGGGGGCCCCAGCAGCCCTACCTGGCGCCCCCCAACCCCCGACCACCCGCACCTGCGGTGAACGTGTGACGTCCGGCCCGTGCCACTCCCTCGAGGACGGTGCCCGCGGGATTGAGTGCGAGGCTGTAGGCGGAGATGGCCAGGCCTAGGAGGGAGGCGAGGACGGGCTCAGTGCTGTCCCCTCCCCTCTCCCTGAGCCGCGCAGGGCACGTGCCACGGGCTCCTGGCTGCCATCAAAGGCTCCATTATCTCGGGGCCCTGGGGTTCCCGGGCTCACCCTGCTTGGCAGCCCTCTCCTTCCTCTCTCCTTCCCTCCCTGGCAGCGTGCCCGGGGTTGCCAACACCTCCTGCCGCTCCTGGTCCCCCTTCCCCGCTGGCGGCTCGGGCCCGGGCCCGTCCCTCACACCTGGACGCCTTGGCCGCAGCCCATGCCCGCCTGGCCTCGGCAACCCGGTCAGCGTGCCTCCTCGCCGCCTGCCCAGGGTCTGGCCTGGGTGAAGCCAGGGTGGGTGCCGGGGTGCCCGCGCCCCCTTTCCTTACCATGAAACACCACAGTGCTCTTCACCTTGTCTTCTCCCTACTGACCCCTAACAAAGCCCCCCGCTGCTGACAGGGACACTGGGGCGTCAGCCCAGCCCAATGCCATGGGATGACGGGGTGGGGGGTCCTTTTCTCAGCCTGGGCTCCACCCCAGGCCCCCAAACTCCAGCTTCCTGGAACACACAGGATCTGGGGGGCCTTTCCAGAGGCAGTGAAGCTAGTGGTTTTTTTTTTTTTCCTCTAATTATAAACACCTAGCACTGTGACCCACGACCCCGCCCACAACACTGGCACCAGGTCCCACTTTGGGGCGCTGGGTCCTGGCTGCTCCACTAGGAGATCCAGCTGCTGGTCCATGTGACTGGGAAGGCAGTAGAGGCTGGGCCGAGGCCAGGGGTCTCTGCATCCACATGGGAGACCCAGATGGAGCTCCCGGCTCCTGGCTGCAGCCTAGCCCAGTGCCCTGGCAGATCTTTGGGGAATGGACAACCAGACAGGAAATCACGATCTCACTCCATCTCTGCCACTGTCTTTGAGGTCAATCAAGGAAAAATGCTTAAAAAAATGGTCAATTTTGGGCCCAGCAAGGTACCCTAATGGCTAAAGTTCTTGCCTCGCATGCACTGGGATCCCATACGGGTGTTGGTTCATATCTCGGCTGTTTTGTGTCCCATCCAGCTCCCTGCCTGTGGCCTGCGAAAACAGCGGAGGACGACCCAAAGCCTTGGGACCCTGCACCCGCGTGGGAGACCCGGAAGAAGCTCCTGGCTTCGGATCAGCTCAGCTCTGGCTGTTGCGGCCACTTGGGGAGTGAACCAGTGGATGGAAGATTTTTCTGTCTCTTCTCTCTGTTTATCTGACTTTCCAAGAAAAATAAATAAACCTTGAAAGGAAAAAAAAAAGTCAATTTTTAAAAATTCACGTAAGAGTTTGCCACCCACTGGGTCACTCCCCAAATGCCGGGCTGGGTGGAGGCCCGGAGCGGATCTCTGTGGAGGCCTCCCACGCAGGTCACTTAAGCTCCTGAGCCATCACTGTGGCCTCCGAGGTGGACACGGGTGGAATTCCTGGCCCAGAGGCTGGGAGTGGGGCCGGGCTGGCCCGGGGCTCCCCAACCTGCCCCAGCCCCATCCAGGACCCAATGTGGGGCCTGGGGCCAGCCCTGGGGGCTCAGGACCGTGTCACCCCAACTCCACCGCCCACAGCCCCCCAGAGCACGTCTGTCCCAGCCCCCCACGACTGCACTTTGAGAGACACACACCTGCTCGTTCCCCCGGACAGCACAGTCATTCATTCAAACAGGCTCCCCATTCACTCATTCATTCATTCACAGTCGGTCAGCTGTTGCACACTCCCAGATACCAGCGCTCCTGGGGTGCTGGGAAAGCTGTGACGTGAGGCTCCCGGCCACCCAGCAGCACCCTATGTCAGGCAAGCACATGGAAAGCACCCCGTTTCCCTCAGGAGAGGTGCACAAGGGAACACCCCGGCCAGGAAGCACTGGCCTCTGCGGGCCACGCACCCCACCATCCACCCTGGCCCTCCCTAATCCACCAGCCGTCACTGTGGAAGCCAGGAGACCTCCACCCCTACACCACAGCCTGCACCCCGGGGTCCCCGCTCAGCCTTGGCACCCCAGCACCCCTCCGTGGGCGCCCCTGGCCCCGGACAGACCCCAGGCTGCACCCCGGGGTCCCCGCTCAGCCTTGGCACCCCAGCACCCACCCGTGGGCGCCCCTGGCCCCGGACAGACCCCAGCCTGCACCCCGGGGTCCCCACTCAGCTCAGCCTTGGCACCCCAGCACCCCTCCATGGGCGCCCCTGGTCCCGGACAGCCCGGGGTCCCCACTCAGCCTTGGCACCCCAGCACCCCTCCATGGGCGCCCCTGGCCCCGGACAGACCCCATTCTGCACCCCCGGGGTCCCCACTCAGCCTTGGCACCCCAGCACCCCTCCACGGGCGCCCCTGGCCCCGGACAGACCCCAGCCTGCACCCCCAGGGCCCCTCGCGCCCCCGGCGCTCACCCGCGGCGCCGCCCAGGCCGGTGCTGGCGTAGGCCTTGCGGTGACAGTCGGTGCCATCGGGGACGTCCGTGAACTGCCGCAGCAACGTGGCCGCCATGGTCCCCGCGCCCAAGGACAGCCGGCGCCGCCTCTCGCGAGACTTCCTGCCGTCCTGCCGGGGGTGTGGAAACGGGAACAAGAGTCTTGCGCCTGCGCGTCGCAGGCTTTGGCGTCAAGGAGTTGCCAGTACTTGTCCCGGAGCGATAAACGGAGGCGGACGGCGAGCGGGGAAGACGGGCCGGCGCGGGGAGCCGCTGGGACCCGGGCTGCTTCTCCGCGGGCCCCGATGAGGACCGGGAGGCGCCTATGGGGAGGGGATGGGCGCCCTCCCCGTGCCAGAACCCGTAAGGGGGCGTGGCCGGGCCCTACGGCCAATCGCCATGCCCGAACCAGCAGCGTGCGACTATTTTGGGGCGGGGTCAGTGCAGGAGGCGGGGCTTTGCGGAAAAGGGACCAATCCCAGAGCTAAGATATGAGAGAGGGCGTGGCCGGTGCCCAACTCTTGGCACGCGTCAGCTTCCAGTCCGGAAGAAGCGTGCGCTCGGCTCGGCTCGGGGGCGTGTCCCTCTCCATCTTGTCCAATCATGACCGGCGCCGCTCCAGGGGCGGGGTTTGACGGTGCCGGGAGCCAGTAGGGATGTCGGGCAGCCGGCCGCAGCCAATGGCGGCGCGGTGCGGAGGCTCGGGGGCGTGGCCTCCCGGGGCGGGGCGGCAGCGCGCGGCCGGGGTGATGGCGGCGCCGCCCGCCCTGCAGATCCGCGAGGCCAACGCGCACCTGGCGGCCGTGCATCGGCGGGCGGCCGAGCTCGAGGGGCGCCTGGACGAGGCCGAGCGCACGCTGCGCGCCCAGGCCGAGCGCCTGGCCCGCCACGACCAGCAGCTGCGCGCCAAGGACCGGTGAGGGGCCCGGCGGAGGCTGGAGAGGGCGGACGGGCGGGCGGCCACGTCCACCTGAAGGTGGGATGGCGAGAACATTCTAGAAAGTTCGGCTGGGGAACGTTGATGGGACACAAAGGCGCACGATGGGACTTGGACGCCAAATGCCCTCCCCCCCCCCCGTCGGGCATCAGAGACCACCTACCTGGTGGGGGAGACCGAATCCTGTCAATACTTTTAATTTTCGCTCCCCAAAAGTGCACGCAGCAGCCAGGCCCGCTGCATCGGGGCTCCGTCCGAGGGCGGCAGCGGGGACTTGAACCCCGGGCCCCAAAGGCTCCAGGTCCCGCGGTGGGCGAAGTTGGACCCCCGGTGGGGATCTGGGGTTAGATGCATGGGGGCGACACGGATCCTCGGGACCCCAGCTCCTTCCCGCCCTGCACCCTGACGCTCTCGTTCCCCCCCCAGGGAGATCGCCGCCCTGCAGGAGCAGCTGCTGACCTCGGAGGCCACCGTGCACAGCCTGCAGGCCGCCGTGCGCCAGCGGGACGAGCTCATCGGGCAGCTGCAGCCCCGCGCCCAGCTGCTGCAGGACATCTGTCGCTGCCGGCCACCCCTGGCCGGGCTGCTGGCTGCGCTGGCGGAGGCCGAGCGCCTGGGGCCCCTGCCGGCCGGTGACCCTGGGGGCCCTGGCCCGCCCTTGACCAACAGCAGCAGCAGCAGCAGCAGAGAGGTGGACAGCGAGCAGCTGCAGCCTGAGGCCCTGGGGACCACGGTGTGAGGTCCGGGCACGGATGCCAGGGCTTGGGAGACTGCGCTGGGGCTGCCTGGACATGGTGACCAGCACTTCTCAAACGGGGCGCTCCGACTGAAGGCACAGGCTTAACTCCAAGTTAAAACAAACAAACAACTTTCTGTTACCTACAGCCGTCTGGAACGGCAGCAACATGCACACTTGCCCTGGGCTCCAGGCCGGACCTGGCCCAGCTGGCTCACTCCGCTGGCCCTTCCCTGCGTGGCTGCCCACCCAGCCTAGTGGGTGGCAGATGGCGCCTGGCTCCACACCCTTCGGAGCCCAGGGTTCTAAGTCTTACCTCTTCCTCGCACACACCAGCGCTGGGAGCCTTCAGCCATCCTGCACTGGTCTCCTGCCTCAGCTGTCAGCCTGGGCTGGGGAGCAGGTGGGTGAGGCTGCCTCCGGGCGTTTACACGGGGCGGCCCAAGCTCTGCGCCTGCCCGACTGGCCCTCTGCCTGGCCTGTCCCAGCCTGGTACTGACAGCCAACAACCTACACCCTCTTAAACCTCCTGAAATGCTATTTTCTGAAGCCCTCGTTTCTACAACTGTCTCTCGGCCCCAGGCGCGCAGGGCGCCCTGTTTTCTGTCAGACCAAGAGAGGAGAGAGACCTGTGCCTTGCCTGCGAGCAGCCTGGGCCTGGCTGCCTCACTCAGGGAAATTGTCCTGCCAGGAGCTGGGACAGGGCAGCGGCCACTCGCCGCCTCCCTCCTGGCAGTCCTACAGTGGTGCCTTGGTGCGGGAACAATGGCCCTGTTCTCTGGATGAATACCGTGGGGGCTGTGTGTGTGGACAGCAGGCAGGCCGGGGCCTGTGCGTGCTCAAGAATAAACCGGATACTTTCCTGGCCTGGGTCCTCGGCTTTTCTTCCTGGCACTGGAGCTAGGGGTGGCCAGTCTGAAGGGGCCCGCTGGGAGGTGAAGCAACCCCCTTCACACACACAACTGCTTCTGGCTCTGGAGGGAGGGTGGGGCTGCGTCCTGTCGTGCAGGGGTTCCTGCTGGTGCTCCCCCTCCCTCCTACAGGGATGCCACAGTCTGTTTTTCTGCAGGAAGTGGCCCCTGGGAACATTCAGGAAGACCAAAGACGCCAGTTAGACAGCCAAGCCCGGGCACCTGGGTTTGACCCTGGCAGATGGGATTCCTGCTTCTCCCATGAGACCCAGATCAAGTTCTGGGCTCCAGACTCCAGCCCCGGCCCAGCCTTGGCTGTCAGACATGTCAGGGAGTGAACACTGAATGGGAGCTGTCTGCCTACTGAACAACTTGCAAAGCAATGCACGAAGCTGTGGTCCACATGTGTATCAAAATAGTCTGACAGGGGCCCAGCACAGTAGCCCAGTGGCTAAAGTCATTGCTTTGCACATTCCGGGATCTCATATGGGTGCTGGCTTTACTCCTGACTGCCCCACTTCCCATCCAGCTTCCTGCCTGTGGCCTGGGAAAGCAGTGGAGGACGGCCCAAAGCCTGGGGACCCTGCACCCACGTGGGAGACCCGGAAGAAGCTCCTGGCTCCTGGATTGGCTCAGCTCTGGCCCTTGTGGCCACTTGGGGAGTGAACCAGCAGATGGAACATATTCCTGTCTCTCCTCCTCTCTGTATATCTGACTTTCCAATAAAAATAAATCTTAGAAAAAACAAGTGTGACAGGAGGTCCCACCCCATACATCTCAGGTTTACAAGACATCACTCGGCTGTACTGGTCACTCCTGAATCTAGCCCAGGCTCACATGGCCCCTAGGGGTGGACCTCTGGCCACACGGCCTGCCTGCCGTGTCCAAGGTGGCCCCACGCAGGGTCCCCAACTGTCAAAGACACACCCGTGTCCCTGCTCAGCAGTCCGCATGAGGCCTGCTTCAGCCCTCTCGGCTGCTGTGAGAACCCAAGACCACAGACTTGGGGAAGCTAGGGAGAAAGCAAATGTTATTGTGGCTCTGGTCCAAGGTGGACGGGCTGCCCCTGGAGAAGGCTGCTTGTGGCTCGTGAGGCGCTGTTGGGCGTCCATGGGCAAAGGCGCAGAACACGCAAGATACACAGGAACAGAGTGACCCACAGACCAACTGCTGATGGCACGACTGGGTAGGCCGACACATTGGGGCACCACCCCAGCTGCCTGCTCAGGGGGCTGAAGGCGAGACCCACCTTTCCTTGGGGGGAGGGGACATGCCATAAGCAATCCATGGCAGAGCTGCCTTCAGCCCATCTCCTTCAAAACCTCAGCCAATCTGTCAACCCTCACCTTGGCAGAGCCCAGGTAGGGGAGGAGACTGGCCCTGGGTCACCCAGGAACTGTCTTGAGCCACCAGTGGACATGGCTGCACCGGGCCTGAGTGAGCATGGCAGTGTGCCAGCCCAGGCGCTGCTGCCTCCGCCCTCCTGGCGTCGAGGCTTGGGCCCCTCCCAGTCCCCAGAGAACAGCCCTTAGCAACAAGCCGCACGGGGCAGAGGACGCGGAGTGAGTGCAAAGAACAACAGACTGGACCGTGGGACACACACAGGCCAGGTAAGCGAGCAGGAACAGGCCACCTGTGGGGTGGGAGGGGGCTCTGGGAACCCAGCCCCTGGCCCGGCTGGTGGCACAGGAAGCCCCACTCTTCCCCCATCCCTTCTAGCTGCCCACAGATCCCCGAAGCAGTATGGCCATGGCGGACATCAGCGTGGAGAAGCTCCGGGCACAGTGTCTGGCCCGCGGGGCTGCCGGCATCCAGGGCCTGGCCAGGTGAGCCGTCCTCTCACACATCGCCAGGCTCGGCCAGTGACCACCAGCCAACCCCATCCATTCCCTGATCCTGCAGGTTTTTTCGCCGCCTGGACCGGGACGGGAGCCGGTCCTTGGACGCAGGGGAGCTGCAGAGGGGCCTGGCCACGCTGGGGCTGGTGCTGACCGAGCCCGAGGCTGAGGCCGTGTGCAGACGCTGGGACCGTGACGGCAGCGGGACGCTCGACCTGGAGGAGTTCCTGCGGGCGCTGCGGGTGAGTGGCCACCCACTGCACTACCCCACGTCCCCTGGAGCCTGGCACCGGCGGTCTCTGACAGGCCCACGTCCTCAGCCCCCCATGTCCCAGGCCCGGGAGGCGGTTGTTAGAGCTGCCTTCACCAAGCTGGACCGCAGTGGGGACGGAGTGGTGACGGTGGATGACCTCCGGGGGGTGTACAGCGGCTGCGCCCACCCCAAGGTGCTCAGCGGGGAGTGGACAGAGGAAGAGGTGTTTCGCCGCTTCCTGGACAACTTTGACTCCTCGGAGAAGGACGGGCAGGTGGGTAGTGCACAGGGGGACCCCCTTCCCAGGGCAGCTGCTGGCCTCGGGCGCCCCTCACGGCCCATCTACCCTCAGGTCACGCTAGCTGAGTTCCAAGAATACTACAGTGGCCTGAGCGCCTCCGTGGACACGGACGAGGAGTTTGTGGCCATGCTGACCAGCGCCTGGCGGCTGTGAGCGGCCCTCCTCCGCCCCACTCCTGCTTCCCGGGCAGGGGTGGGGGAGGTGGCTCTGAGGTCGCAGAACCTGCTCGGCCAGGTCCCCTGCGGGGCCACTCCTCCAGGGGTCCTATGCCAAGAGAGGACCCCAGGGAGAGGGGCCTTCCCTGCCGTACCTGCTCTGCTGGTGCCCCAGGAGGCCCAAGCTGGGGGCCCTGCTGTGTGCCCTGGTTTCCTGAGGCCCCTGGGGCACGCAGGGTGCCAGGTTTAGGTAAAAGTTTTAATGTAGTTTCGAAATGCATTTCATTTGACAGTTTCACATAAATGTTTCCAAACACACGAGGGCATTGTCTGCTTTTGTCACTAGCTGGCTAAGGCTTCCAAGTAGAGGCGTGTGGTCCAGGTGGGCCGCTGCTGTGTCCCCCGCTCAGGCCTGCTGGCTGCTGGGCAGGCCCAGCCCGTGGCCAGCCCCTTGGCCAACCAAGGGGAAGCTGGGAGACTTCCGCCGGCCTCTCAATGAGGCTCTGTGCTCGGGACCCTCTGCCTCCCCGGGGCCCGCTCCCACGTGTGCTCTGTGCATGGAGGGCAGCCTGTGGTCTGTGGCCAGCCCCTCTGCCTCCTCCAGGAAGGCCCCAGCCCCAGACAGTCCGGGAAATGGCCAGGAGCAGGCCGCAGGTGCCAGATGCTGGGTGACCCATGTGACATGGAGGTGGACGGTGCGGGGGTCACAGGGACGATGTGGGGTGCCTTCTGCAGCCCAAGACTCAGTCTGGGGGAGCCCAGGCCCGCTGCAGCAGGGACCTCGGGGAGCTGAGTGCGGCCCTCCCTGACCCCGAGAACATCGTCATCCCAAAGACCAAAAACAAAGCCTTTGAACAAACCAAAACCAAACCAAACGTACGATCTGTAAAATATAAACCCCCAAATCAGAAGCTGGGAACGGGAGATCAAGATGGTAGTAAACGGAACATCCACTGGCCCCGCGCCGACACGCACTGCGGGGCCCAGAGCCCGCGGCGCCCCGGCCCCCTGCGGCGGGGGGAAGAAAGGAGGTGGCCCAGCCCAGCCAGTGAGAAGCCGTGACAAGTCTAATGTGCCGTTTCAATTCAGGGGAAGGCTCTTTTGTTTGCTCATCAATATGATGAGGGCTCACGTCCCCAACCACAGTCAGCTCCCGAGGCTCCTCCGGCCCAGGACGTGCGGCTCCGCCGAGGCCGACCCCGCCGGGTGTGCTGCTCGTGGGGAGGGGCGGGTGGTGGTAGGACGGCCAGAGCAGCAGCCCCGAGTGCCACGGGGCCCCGGCCGCTATGTGCTCCCGGCTGTCTGGCCCTCGCCTTCTTCACCGGCACCTGTGGAGGCAGGGGCCTCGCTCAGGGGCTGCCCGACGCACAGCCCACTGCGCCCGCCCGGCCCCGGGGAGCCCGAGGCTCACCGGCTGCGGCCGCTCCCGAGGGAGCCAGCATGTTGTCGTCGTCACTGTCGTCCTCCTCGTTGGATGGGGCAGCCCCCGGCTCAGGGGCTGGCGTCTTGGCCTCCTGTTCCTGCTCGACTCGGCTGCGCAGGGCGAGGATACGGTGGTGCAGGGCTGCATACAGCTGGCCCGTGTCCTTGGAGCTGGCCTGGGGAGGCAGGGGGCTGTGAGGTCCCTGTAGCTCACTGGTCCAGGGGACCTTGCATGGGGCACAAACTGCCAGGTGCCAGCTGACTGCAGCCCCGGCTCTGAGTCAGGAGGAACCCACATATGAGCGGAGTGGGGAGGCACCCCGGGACGCCCGCCTACTGTGGGCTGGCCTCGGGTTGGACTACACCCCCGGGGTGTGGCTCACCGAGATCAGGAAGACCTTGACCCCCTGGTCCTCCGTGTCCATGGCCGTGATACGGATGCTCTTCTCGCTGGCCTTGTCGATCTGCATCTGCGCCCAGAGCTTCGTGTTCAGGATCAGCCGCAGGCTGCCCTGGGTCCGCATCACTGCAGATTTTAACAAGGCGGCTCAGTGCTGCCCGCGCCCCACGGCCACCGTCCAGCTCAGTGCCGGCCTGTGCCCCCCAAGGCCACTGGCAGCACGAGGAATCCTGAGGGACGGCAGGGGCCAGCTACGTGGGGCTCTCCTGCCTACCCTGTCCCAGGGCCTTCCGTCTCACGCTGAGCTTCGGGGCTCCCCTCGCCCCTTCCAGTCTCACTACAGCCCCAGGCCCGGAGCCCAGGGCAGCCCCACGGCAGCACTCACCCAGCCGGGACTGTAGCGTCCCGTCGTCTGTTGATGCCATGTCGTTGAGTCGGAGCAGCCCCCGGCCTCTCTCCACCCAGGACTGCGAGGTCTTGTCAAAGACAAACAGTTTGCACTGGATCTGGAACAGACACGAGCCGCGTGGTGAGCGCGAGCCCGGGCCGGGCTTACTGCTTGAGGACGGGCTGACCCTGCTGGTGGGAGACGGGGTGGGTGAAGGGGGGAGGGCGGCTCTCTCCCAAACCCGTCTGCACCCCACCAGGCTGGGCGAGCAAGGGTCACGGGGTGTGGGTGGCTCCCGGCTGGTTTCCTGTGCAGCCCTCACGTTAGAATGTGTTTTACGTTTTCAGAGGGGCAGACACATCACGGAGCAAAGAACTGCAGTCAGAAATCATGCCACACCCACTGCACAGCAACCGCCACCAGAAGCCCTAAGACGGGCTGTGGAGGGAAGGCGGGGCCACGGCACAGTAAGCCAAGCCTCTGCCTGCAGTGCCAGCATCCCACAGGGGCGCCGGTTCAAGTCCTGGCTGCTCCACTTCCCATCCAGTTCCCTGCTAAGGAGCCTGGGAAAGGGTGGAACGGGGTGGGGTGAGGATGGGACAAATCCTGGGGCCCCTGCCACTCAAGAGACTCTGGAGCGCCTGGCTCCTGGCTTTTGTCTGGCCTGGTCCTTGTGGAGTGAACCTGTCACTGACATGCTCACACGCACATGCACACGGATGCTGACTGCGGGTCCTGCCCGAGGGAGGGGGTCCTGCCCGAGGTAGGGGCGCCCGCATGCGCCTTGGCCCACTGCCCGGCCGCCCTGAGCTCACCTGCAGCACGTTGCTCTCTGCCTCCTCCCCCGTGATGACCTCCACCTTCTCCAGCAGACACTTGCGCGCCGTGGCCTTGGTGTACGCGGCAGCCGACTCGGCCAGGGACTCTGAGATGTTACCGACGACACAAGACCAACTCTTACTTGGTGAGGGCTGTCGTGCCCAGCAGCCAGACGACGTGTCTGCGCGGGGAACCCACCACCCGCGCGTCCTCCGGCCTCCCTGGGGCCCTCTCCACAGAGGACGGTGGGAGACAGCCGAGGGACGGTGGCGCCACTGCCCGAGGACAGGCAGGAGGGTGCTGGCCGCCCCTCAGCCGCCATGAGGCCACACGGCTGTGGCCGCTGGACTCGGCTTGAGAGCCCTGCCACCTAGAGTGTCCTGGGGGACCCATCACCGCACACCCTACCGACCCTCAACCCTCGGGGGGGCACCAGGCTCCCAGGCACCTTTCTCGGGGGTGGCCTCCTGGGACGAGGACTCGGACCCAGACTCAGCGGCAGCGTGCTCCCTGCTGGCTTCTGAGCTGACCTCGTTCAGTTTGGGGAAACTCTGAGGAGACAAGGGCAGGCAGAAGGAGTGTGTGTGAGTGTGTCCGCGTGTGTGTCAGGCGTGATGCTGGCCTGTGCGCCTCACGAGCCTCACGAGCCTCACTGCCGCAGACCTCTCTGCCAGGCCCACGTGCCCACAGACACACGGCCCTCTCGCTGAGCAGCCCCTTGGGCCCCGTCACTTGGAGCGCCCCGTGGGAAACAAAGCCCGAGCAGCAGCCTGGCTCCCGGCCTGAGTGCCAGGCCACGAAGGCCGCCTCCCTGAGCCTGGCCGGGAGCCTGGCCCTGTCCCTAGCTTCAGGCCAAGTCTGGCCTGGCCCTGTCCCCTCTGGGTGACTGACGGTCCTCCCCACCCATTTTACGGGGGGTACCATGGCAGCCCTCTGCCACACGTCCATCAACCTGGGCCGGAAGCCCCCTGCCTCCAAGGGTCGGCCACTCACCAAGACACGCTCACTCATGTTCTGGCCAAACACAAATTTGTTGCTGGGGGAGTCGGCACTGTTGGTCGAGTTCTCTAAACTGGAAGGAAGACTCCGTGAGCAGCTGACAGTGGTGGAGCAGCCAGGCCAGTGCGGGGCGAAAAACACAGCCCCTGGGCCCGTTCTAACGGGCAGCCCCCGTGGCTCCCGGGGAGGCCATGGCCGGGTCCCTGGGCAGTGCCACGGCAGGGCCAGCCAGGGCTTCCTCCCAGGTGCCGAAGCCTGGGGCGAGGCACACGGAGGCCAACAGGAGGCCACTGAAGGGTTACCAGCCCTCCCCACCTGGCCTGAGGCCTGAGGGCAGCCCCGCACACACTGCCCAGAGTGAGACGGCAGAGGCTGGGGGGCAAGCTGCGCACCCCCTGGCACAGGCGCTCAGCTCTCCTGGCCCACGTCAGGGATGACGCGGCGGGTCAAGCCCGTGCCCGCCTGCCTCCCCGGCCGGCCCGCGCAGGCGCCCTGCACACCTGGAGCTCATGTACTGAAGGAAGTAGTTGGTTGCGGCTGGTGTGTCCGAGCTGGGCTGCCCGGCACTGTCGGCGTCGGCTGTGTCCGCGTTCTCATGGAGCAGCTGGGAAGGAGAGGACGCCGTCACGGCCCCGAAGGCGGCCTGCCCTGCAGCCTCCAGGCCCTGCACGGCCCCTCCAGGCACTGCACGGCCCCACGCCGCAGGCCGAGCGCCCCGAGCTGGCCACGCACCTTCACCCTGTCCCTCAGGTTCTGCCCGAACACGAAGGCTTGCTGTGCAACCTGCTCTCTCTTCTCACAGTTGTCCTCCTCCGAAGTCCTGCTCGGCTCCTTTCTCTGGGACTCCTGCTCCTGGGGAACAAAGCACAGTGACTCCTGCGGCCCAAACAAGAGCAGCCCCACGCCACCCTGCCGGCCGTGCTTCTCCCTTGGTGCCAGTGCTGGGTGCACCTGGGCTCCTGCCTCTGACCAACGAGGGGCCAGGGATGGGGGCCTCCACCTCTGCCCACATCCTGTGTGGCTCCCTCAGCCTCACAGCCGGTTGGGCACAGGGTGCCAGGTGACAGGAAGCCTGGGGGCCAAGCAGGGATGAAGGGGGTGGGGCTGGGAGCCCCGCCCGCCCCCTGGCTCATGAGGGAGGCCCAGGCCTCTTCTCCAGCCCCACAGCCCTGGGACCCTGCCCCTTCCTCCTAAAGAACTGCTTCTGAGCCCGATCCCATGCGAGTGTAGACCGGACTCCCCCAGGCAAATGCTGCAGCTCTGGGCTTGGTGGCCAAGGCTGGACACCCGGCAGAAGGCAGACTGTCGGCATGGCTGTGGTTCCAATGCCCCCAGCGTCCCCAGGGCAGACCTCGGCTTAACGGGGCTTTAAAACCCCCCTTCGCTGCGTCTCCGCATGCTCCCGTGGCCGCGGCTGCTGGCCGCCAGGCTGGAGGGTTCCACTCAGGAAGGGGATGACAGGACCCCTCCCCCCAAGCTCTCCCCTCCCCCAATTCCACTGCTCAGGAGAACTGGACCTCAGCAAGCCTTCAGCTCACAGTGGGGCCCAGCATGACCCTGGCGTCCACTGACCTCGAGTGTGTGGGCGTCATCGCCATATTCCGAGGGGCTCCTTCGCGCAGGGCTGTCAGGCGAGGCTGCCACCGGTGCCCCTGTGCAGTCTGCTAGCATGCTGACCCCGTTGGTGCCACTGTTTGGGACTGTGGGAGGAGAACAGAGCAGGGGCTGAGGGGTGCCCAGGAAGGGTGCCTTTGACCTATGGCTTGGAGCGCACACAAATGTGGGGAGCGTGGAGGGTGAGGTGAGGGCTGGCGGTTTGAGGCCTTTCTGTAACGTGAGGACACACACGGATCTTCCATCCGCTGGGGCTCTCCCCACGGACCTGCAAACAGCGAGGGCTGGGCCAGGCTGTAGCCGGGTGCCGTGGAACACAGCACCTGAGCCGTCTGTCCGTCACCATCACCTGCCACCTCCTCGGGGTACCCGAGGCAGAAGCTGGTGTGGGCAGGGGAGTGACCATGCGGCCACGGGCGCTCAGATGTGGGACCTGGGGGGCGCTAGCCAGTCTCATGGACAACAGGCCGGAGGCCTGTCCTGGCGCCTCCTTCTTCCGGAAAGAACCCGATCCTTCTAAAAGGCATCGATTCTGAGGGGGGAGGAGAACCCGAATCAAGCGCATCACAGGCAGGAACAGCCTGTCTTTCTTTCTGAAAGAACTGAATTTTCAGCGTCTTTAGAGACACTCAGGGACACAGCATGCGAGTGGGACGCGGCTTTAGGGAGCCAGTCTCCACACACGCTTTGCCTGGGGTTCACACCCACACCAGTCGTCAGCATCCGAGGCATCCTGGCACTCGAGGCCCCTGCCTCCCCCAGGGCTCACTGGGCACCGCAAAACACCCCCAGTTAGGAGAGTAATGGCTCACGAAGCCACGGCCAAGGGCTCCCCTTGAAGGCAGGCCGGGCCAGGACAGACACACCTGGCTGACCACACGGGTCCATCTCAGGGACAAGCCCACCCCCTCATGGGAAGATGGCGAGGCAACAAGCACTTCCAGTCCAGTCACTTCCCACCCAGGGCCCCGAGGAGAGCCAGAGTCGCTCGGCAGGGAAGAGCGCTGGTGCTGGCACAGTGTGTGTGTGTGTGCGCGCGGGGCTGCTTACTGCTCTGCGGCAGGGCTTTGGGCGGCGGGGCCTGCAGCACAGCTGGGCGCAGCACACTCCGCTGCTGTTCCTTGGGCTTCTGGCTCGGCAGACCTGCAACACAAGAGGCTTTCCCAGGGCCCGGCCCCCGGGCTGTCACACAGTGGGCCTGCCTGGGGACCCCTCGCCCACCGCAAGGCAGGCACAGCAGGCCTACTGCCACGTCCACGGGTGGCCCCCCCGGCAATCGCCACGACAGGATCACGCCTGTGGATGACTGCTGTGACTCTGGGGCCACCCACGGGTGCTGTCCAAAGGGTGCGCAGCAAGGTCATGGGCGATTCCCCAGAGACTAAGGACTGTCTCACCCAGCAGCACCTGGTGCCCAGCACCAAGCAGGTAAGCTCGGGACACAGGCTTCCTGCTCACCGACACGACGGGCAGTGCCACTGGGCACGCTGCTCCTCCGGGGTCAGCAGACACTGGACTGACTGTGCCATGGCTGGGCATGCAGGCTGACCAAGCAGTTGGCACCAAGATGGCCTGCCGTGCTGCATCCCAGCCCTCTTCCCCAGCCCACAGGCAGAGGGTCAGGGGCGACGACCATCAGATCAAACAGGCCCAGCACACAGCCGCCATGCAGGGCTCAGAGGGCGGCCCGCAGAGGTGTGGGAGAGCTGTCCCCGGGGCCACTCACCTGCACTGGGCGCCTGGCCGTGGATCAGCGTCGGCGGCTTCAACCGGAACCCGCTGCTCTTCTCTTCTGCACGTACCAGAGACAACTTGAGGTGACCGTGCCTCGGGCCCAGGCTGGCCTGCTGCCGATCGGAGAGGCTGGCCCCGCGGGCAGCCGTATAGCGGAGCCGTGCTCGACACAGCAGCGACTGGGCACACAGGCATGGCGCACCACACTCCTTCCTTCCCTTCAGGGATATTTCAATCTTGTGGGTACAGGAGCCCAGGCACTTGGGGGCCATGCCTGCCGCGGGCTAGGGAGCTGGATGGGAAGTGGAGCAGCTGGGACTGGAATTGGCGCTCCAACACGGGAGACCAGCATCTCTGCCAGTGGCTCCGCTGCTGTTCCACAAGGTCTATAGCCTCAATCGCGTCTTCAAAAAATACGCATTTAAAGGCAGAGAGAGAGCCCAGCTTGACAGCCTAGTGGCTATAAAGTCCTTGCCTTGCAGGCACTGGGATCCCATATGGGCATTGGTTCTACTCCCGGGAGCCCCACTTCCCATCTTGTGGCCTGGGAAAGCAGTGGAAGACAGCCCAAAGCCTTGAGACCCTGCACCTGCATGGGAGACCTGGAAGAGGCTTTTGGCTCCTGGTTCCTGGCTTCAGATCGGCTCAGCTCCGGCTGTTGTGCTCACTTGGGGAGTGAATCATCGGACGGAAGATATTTCTCTCTGTCTCTCCTCCTCTCTGTATATTTGACTTTGTAATAAAAATAAATAAACCTTAAAAAAAAAATCTTTCATGAGGAATTTCTGTCACGGGTCAGAAACTTTCAGGAAATCTTTGGAGCTGGCTCTCTAGTGAGCTGTCCAAAAAGGCAGGCTCTGGCATGGCCAGCCAGGGGGCTCAAACTGCTCTCTTTCACTTCCTAGCACCAGGACACAAACACATCCCTTGTTTGAGCAGATGGAGGCGGCATTAAAGAAGCCACAGCCGGCAGGGCAGGGCCAGGGAGGGGTTCTCACTCCTGTTCCTGATTTAATGCTTTTGAAAAGGCAGGAGGAGTTTACGACTTGGGAGAGTTTCCGAAAGGCTGCAGGGCTGGGGCGAACCGAGGGCCCAGCCTCCGACCCTCGGCCACCTTCCCATCCTCACGGGCTCATCTGACAATAGCATTCCAGGACACCCCCGTGCCCTGCGGGGAGGCCTGGACTGGACCGGGGCTGGCTAGGGCCTGAGTGCAAGGGGCCCACACAGGACTCCCAGTCGGCTGGGAGGTGCAGAGCCTGCCATTGGAGGGGATATTCCCGCCCAAGGCCCCATAGCAGCAGGGCCTGTGCCCACCGACAGGGTGCTGACCCTCCTGGGAAACGGTTGCCACTGGACAAGGCATCTCGCCTGGAGCTGGCACTGGCTCTGCCCACAGGCCAACCCACCGGCTGCCCCAAGGGAAGGTGGAGTTCATGGAAGAGTGAACCAGCTGTGCGGACAGTGGCAGGGCTGGGCTGAAGCGCCTCTTCCAGGGCCCACCCTGCAGATGAGTGGGGGCCGCGGCGCTCCCGGGCCTGTGGGCTGCAGGAGAGGGTGTCTCCCGTGGAATGGAGGGGAAGGTGATAAGTATGGCCTTGCCCTGCCAGCCCAACTCCACAGTGCCCAGTGCCTCCTAGCTCCAAGTGGGGGGGAGTACGGGCTGGCAGGGGCAGCCACGATTGGGCAGGAAGTGGAAGTAGCCTGGCCCAGGGTGGCCCAGGTGCACACCACCTGCACAGCCTCTTGAAATCTGCTGGGCAGGGGACAGCGCGCGGGTGAGGGTACCTGGCTGGGCATGTGGCAGCTGGGTGAGCGAGGACGTTCTTTCCCGTTTGACGGGCGGGCAGTAGTTGCCATCTTCCCTGTTGGAATCTGCAGAAGACAGGGCAGGGGAAGGGTAAGCCTGCTTTCCCGCCAAGCCCGGCAGGGGCTCGGGGGCCTGGGCAGGGTCTTACCTTCTCCCCCCTCGGGACTGGAGCCGCCAGCTGACCTCTGCAAAAAAAACAAAAACAAAACAAGAGCACACGGGAGGTGGTGAGACGGGAGCGCTTACCCACAGCGCAGCCTGAGCGGACCTGGAAACCCAGCATCCAGGGACCAGCTCCCCAAGACAAGCCAGGCACGCACCCCCACGGAGCCTCAACCAGCCCCTGAAGAACCTTCCGCGCCTGGCTCCCAGACATTCCCGCCACAGGATCCGCCCGCGGGCCAGAAACGCACGAACAACACTGGGACCCCTTCTCTCCCTGCCCGCTCCCACCACCCCCTGCCCCGACACAAGATGCCCTGCATCCAGTGCCCAGGCCACCCGGCTGTTGAGAGCGGATGCACAACGCCCCCTCTGGCTCCTTTCCGTCCCTCGCCCTGGAAAATGTGGTGGTATGGACTGCTGCCTCAAGGCAGGCTTTCCTTGAGCAAGGAAAATGTGGGCAAGCCTTGAACGCTTCAGGCCAAAGTCTACAGTCCCCAAACATGGCAACTGTACAGACTACAGAACAATCCTGAACTAGCTGAATTTCCTCCACCACTATGCTTTCGCTGGAGCGCGTGAGGGACTGACAAAACAGACTTGGGGACTTGTCACTCGTGGGGCAGCCAGCAATGGGCTCAGCGGAGGGTACAGCATCCCTCCCGGCCTACCCAGCACCCCATTTCAGGAGCAAGCACAGGGGTCAAATGTCTTGTTTTCCAGAAGATTCCCCAGGGGTCGGGTGGAGCGGGGAGGGGGGGCACCCCTACAAACCAGGGAGCTGTGAGGGATTAAAAGCTGCCGCGGCATGCAGGAAGCAGGCTGCCAAGTGCAATAAATAAAGCAGGCGCCCACGGGGGCCCGCAGCCCCTTCCTGGGGGGAGGCCCGTCTTCCCATAAAGGGACAGCCAGCCTGCGCTCCTGGCTTTGTAAGGCCCACGCTTGCCGCCTGCCAGATATTCCTTGCTTTTGTTTTCATAAGCCTTAAAGAATGTAAACACTGAGCCTGCAGGCCTGGGACTGGAACATGGGGGTGGGAGGGGTGGTGATGGGCTGTGGGCGTGCGTGTGTGCATGTAGGCTCCACCTAGTCAGGTCACAACACGGCACTGGCCCCTAGCCTGGCGCTCCTGCCAGAAAAGCCAGCTCCAAGTGAGGGACAAGGGATGAGGGCCAGCACCGTGCCAGGCAAGAGCTGGGGCACCAAGGCGATGTCACACAGCAGGCGTGCCGTAAGGTGGTCCTGGGGCAAAGGCAGACACCCGAGTCCAATGTGAAAGAACCCTGCAGGTCAGAGGCTAGCCCGCGGCGTGGCCACCCCCTCGCAGCCAGGACGCCACGAGTGGAGACAAAGGGTTCTTGGGGGCTGCTTGAGGCAAGGGCCTCCCTCGTAGGTGTGCCCAATGCCCAGCACAGGCCTCCCACCAGGGGTGGCACACTCTCACGACCCCCAGGCCATGCCGAGCCCCATGTGCCAGGAGACAAGGCTGTAGTGTGGGCCTTGCCACAGCTCCTTGGGGAAAGGTGGGGCCTCCCCAGACCTGAGTGAAGACAGAGGGTCTTCTGCTGCCGTGCTTGGGGGCAGATGCCAGTGCCCTCGCTGGCACCTGAGAACATGTGACCATGACACCAGTTAGCAGGCCCCCCTCTTCCGGACTCTCCTCTCTCCTTGAGGGACACAGCTCCAGGGAGTGCCCACTACATCCTTAGCCCAGGGAGGCAGCGCCTGGCTACACGGCTGCTGCCCAGCGCCACTGTCACGCCACGCCCTCCTGAGCCCCGCAGGCTGGCTCCGCCTGACCTGCCTTGTGCGGGTCCCTCGGGGAGGCAGATCCTTCCCCAAGGTCTCCTCTTAAGAGTGGCACCCCCTGCCTCACCGCAGGCACCGCCTCTCTGCCCCCACCCACGAGCAGCAGGCCCACCACACCCCACAGGCTGTGGCTCCAGGCTCCTCTCTCCCCTGGCAACTCGATGGACACTACTGATGCTCTAAGGCCCAGCCACGGTGGCCTCCACAATGACCACTGGGCCTGGGGCTGCCATCCCTCCAGGCCCCTGTGCCACCTCGTCCAACGATGCCCTGGGGGGCAGGGGCTCCTCCAGGGCGTGCATTCAGATGACCTTGGCACACAGATGCTCATGGGGCCTTGGTCAAGGACAGGACACTGTGTGTCAGGCTCCCCTATACCATCTGTGCAATGGGAAATGCGTGTGCAGCCGAGGCCATGGTCAGAGGCCCTGAGCCTCCCAGGCCTTGCTATGCTCAGCAGGGGCCATGGTCGCCGTCACAGCCCCTCAGCATGCAGGGACTTTGCTATGTCCAAGCTTCCCTTTGCTGACTCCCACTCATGTCCCAGTGTGGCAGGAGCATGAACGCTGCGCGATTTCACAAACACAGAGACAAGTTCTGGTGCTGGTGGGGTCCCCAAGAGGCTCCACTGTCCGTCACAGCCCGCTGGCGGGGTCCCCAAGAGGCTCCACTGTCCGTCACAGCCCGCTGGCGGGGTCCCCAAGAGGCTCTGTCACAGCCTGCTGGCAGGGTCCCCAAGAGGCCCCACTGTCCGTCACAGCCCGCTGGCGGGGTCCCCAAGAGGCTCTGTCCGTCACAGCCCGCTGGCGGGGTCCCCAAGAGGCCCCATTGTCCGTCACAGCCCGCTGGCGGGGTCCCCAAGAGGCTCTGTCTGTCACAGCCCGCTGGCAGGGTCCCCAAGAGGCCCCATTGTCCGTCACAGCCCGCTGGTGGGGTCCCCAAGAGGCTCTGTCCGTGACAGCCTGTTGGCAGGGTCCCCAAGAGGCCCCACTGCCCGTCACAGCCCGCTGGCGGGGTCCCCAAGAGGCTCCGTCTGTCACAGCCTGTTGGCAGGGTCCCCAAGAGGCCCCATTGTCCGTCACAGCCCGCTGGTGGGGTCCCCAAGCGGCTCCATCCGATACAGCTAGTTGGCAGGATCCCCAGGCTGCTCCATCTTGCGAGTCCTGACTCATCCATCAGCTCAGATGTTCCTCTGGTTACTGAGACGCTGACTGCTAGGTGGGACCAGTGAACCCGCCCGGCGCGGCCGTGGGCGTTAGCTCTGTGTACTCAGGGCTCTCTTCCTGTGTGCCACACCTCTCACTTGATTCATGTCTCCATTAAGAACTTGGGGGATGTCACAGACCCTGTCCCTGAGCAGGGTGTCCAACACTGGGTTAAGGTCCCAGGGATCTCGCCTCGCCTCTCACAGTCTAGGTGGGGCTTGCCAGCCGGGGCGCATGGTACGAGAGTCTTGGGGCCAGCAGGGCAGCTCCCCGGCCCCACATGCTGGCTGCAGAGGCCGCGCTGCCCTGCTCAGCGTGCCTGATGCACCGGCTGTGTTCACTGCACCAAGTCTTGCAGACACCACCTCCCGGTCTCTCCCTGCTACACGGTGGGACGCTGTGCGGAGGGGGTCTGTCCCATACCCAGTTTGGTGAGAACAGCAGCTCGAGTAGTCAACAGCCAGATGCCCTAACCTCATTAACCTCACTCAGGGGACCCTCACACTGCCTTGGGGAAGCTACCCACAGCCACGTGGCAGTGGCCAAGGCCCCGAAGGACAGCGGAGTGAGGACACAGAAGTCACGGCCAAATCCTTCAGACCAGGGAAGTTCTCCCCGCAGCCCGCAGCACAGAGCCTCCTCCCAGGAGGGGCTGCGCTCACTGCCTGGCTCCTCCCGTGTCCCGAGCAGGAGCTTCCCCCAGGCCGCGCGGCCCCACACTCGCTTCCCCAGCACTTGCCATTCTCCTTCGACATGCCAGCCTGGGATCCAGCTCTTGGGTGTCGAGAGAGGGTGGGGCACTCGCACACAGCCAAGACCCCAGAGGGCTGCAGCCCACGGCCAAGGCCCTGTGACAGGGACTCGTGAAGCACCCCAGGGTGGAGCTGTCCCGGCGGAATGAGGGACGCGAGTGATGGTGGGGGCACCAGCACAGACACAATCCCTCTGCTTCTCCTGGACCCCACGACAGGGCGGGAAGCGGCCTCCAGCATGCCCCTGCCGAGACGGAACGGGGTGCATGGACCCCTGTTCTAGAGGATGATGGCAAAGCTGCAATTACTGCCTTCACATGGAACTGCTCCCTTCACACACAGCACGGGGGTGGGGGCGGGGGAGGCTATACATCACCATCTGAGAAAAACCTGCCCTGCCCCGGTGCTGGCCCTGCCCTGGCCGTGGGCCCCACGCGAGCATCCGCCCGCCTCGTGCAGCACAAAGTACCGTGACCCACTCATGGACATCATGCCGCCAAGGCCCTCTCAGACACTCCTGCCCAGCTGGGCCCTGCGGGAGGACACTGGCCTCATCGGCTCCCTTCATCCTAAAGCCTGCGGCCTCCTCTCACTGCAAAGGGGAGGCCCCACTGAAGCTCACCTAGCCCGAGAGCTGATGCCAGCTGGGGTCCCCGAAGGCTCTGGCACGAGCCCGCATGGCAAGTCTCCCAAAGCTGCCATGCCAAGGAAAATCAAGACACGACCACTTGCCAGGTCAGGTGTGCAAATGTCCCCCAGGCCCCAGCCTCACTGTGCCGCCAAGGACACCGCGACCCCCTAGCACACGGCCTGCTTCTTCCAGGGCACTGACTGCACTTGGCTGTTCGCCACTTCTTCCTGCACACCCCGGGGCTCTCTGGCTCAACTCGACTGGCACGGCTTCCTCACCAGCAGGGCACTGCCCGCTCAGGTCTGCCGGGGGCGGCCTGGGGCTCGACGCGGGACGCCTGGGCCCTCCGGCCTTTGAGCACCGGCTACCTACAAGATGGAGTAGACAGTCCTGAGCGCAGGACGGTGTTTTACCTGGCCCAACTCCTCAAACTTCCAAAACCCCAGACAGCTCCCGCTCTTCCAGGGTCACCGTCTTCTCCACCTACGATCTTCCAAAGCCTTCGTGATACAAACACGAGGGCTCAAGGGCTCCCTCGGGCGCCCAGGCTTTTTCTTCTTCCTGCTTTGGTTGAAGACAGGCAGTTCACCGCCTAACCGCGCTCCGCACACAGACCAGGCTGCCACAGCAAGCTGCACCAGGCACCACTGCCCACGCACACGGGGAGCCCTGGGCTGCTGGGACCCCCGCGCTCGGACGCCCCAAGACAGGGAGTGGAGAGAGAAAAACGCAAGTGAGGAGAAAGGGGGTGAGCTGGTTCTCCCTGACTGCCTGGCTCCTCCGTGCCTGCCCCTCCTCGAGTCGCCTCTGGGCGACAGGCAGGTGTCTTGCTAAGGGCAGATTCCTGCGAGATGCCTAACGGAGGGGCTCCTCTCTGCTGGCGCTTCGGCAGCAGGGGCTCAGAGAGAGCTGGCCAACTCCTTACTGGTGCCTAAGGTCCTGACTGGCCGCTGGTGGTGCCGTGCTGGCAGGGCCTGAGGGGCTGGGGGCAGGGCCGTCTGGGCTGGATCCCTGAGCAGCGGACGGGCCGCATGGTGTGGACTTACCCCTGCCAGTTCTTGCGGCAAAGGAGGAAGCCGGGCTTCAGGAGCGGGAGGCGGAGGAGTGCTGGAGGAAGTGCTAGCGGGGCCAGGAGGCTCTAGGGCCCGCTCACCAGCTGGCGGGGGGTGACCCGGGCCTTGGTGGGGAGCCTCAGCCTCCTCACCCGAATCCGACAAGCCTTTTTGCTCTGTAGAGGACTGGGAGCAAAAAAGACAATGTTCCTTCAATGTGAGTCAAGGCTGCCGAGGGTGCGGGGTGGGGGACAGACAGGACCAAGTCAGCGAGCTCCAGGTGCACTGGACGGAACCAGCCCTCCAGGCCGACAGGAACCACAGGGAACCTGGCCTGGGCGCTGAGAGGCTCTGGGGGGCGGGGCATCCAGACCTGGTTCTGTAAACTATATGAGTGGAAGGGGATGGGCAGGGGATGGGCTGCTGTGGGCTCCAGGTGAGGAGGGGCCCTGCTGCATGGGGATAGGAGATGGGTTGGGCACCCAAGGGCTATCGGCGTCCTCAGAACCTGGAGCAGGGGCTGTCTGCAGCGCCGCTCAGGGCGGGGTGAAGGTGGGCTCAGACTGCCACAATGCGGCATACAAGCAGAGGGGCCCAAGGCTGGCTCCTGCATGTGTGTGCAGGTGCGGGGTGCTGGCACTAAGAGCTGGAGCCTACCCACGGGCGCTTCAGCTGAGGGAGGGCCACGGGCAGCCTCCACCCAGCTCACTCCAAGCAGCCCATCCCAGGGCTAACTGGGCAGTCAACTGGTCACGGCAAAAGGGAGGTGGCGCCAGCCAGCTGCATTCCCCAAGTGTCCCCGGAGTCCCCCATGGTGATGCCCAGACCCAAGAGGGGCCTCCCAGGGCTGGAAGCTGTTGGGCCACCACTCTAAGGCACACTCCTTGAGAAGGGGTTGCACCCCAAGACCCTGCACAAGGCAGGGCGCTGTTCTCACCCCTGGAACTACGTGGCTTTGGGGTGTGCTGGGCTGTGGCACTCTGGGTGTGCAAAGTACCTGGTCTCTTCAGCCAGGACTGAGTCCTACTTGGCAATGTGTGAGCCTGGTGGGTTTTTTGAGAATTCATAGGAAGGCAGAAACCAGCCAGGGGTCACAGGAGGCACTCCCAAGGCCCCACTACTCCTTTCTATGCAGTGAGCCCCCAGGCCGCACTCCCCCAGCATGGGCTCTGCAGCGGTCCCAGTCCTGAGCCGGAGCCCCTTGCCAGTGTGCACCAGGAAACTGCCTCTTCCTGCTTACATTGTAACCGCTAGTTTGGAATGTCAATGTTTAAAGGCCCTGGGGGGGTGGGGGGGGCAAACATCCAGGTCCCAAGGGGCCCGTTGTGAACTTCAGGAAGATGAGAAACAAGAGCCAGAAGCAAGATGGAGTTCTTCACCCTGGCCAGGATGGTGGCCCATGGAAGCACGAGCAGCAGCAGCAGCTCCCTTGGAGGCAGGAAAGGCCTTGAGAGCAATAGCAGATGTCACCTCCCACTGCCCACGTGGCTCCTGGTTCTCCCAGGCAAAGCGAGCTCAGCTCTACAGAACAAGACAAGGCCTGCGGTCCGTTAAGGGGCCTTGGCCAGCCTCTGCCAGTGTCCCAGGACACGCAGGTCTCCACCAAGCTCCTGGGAAACGCGCACGCCACAGCAAAACCTCCGCACGGACTGAGGGAACTTTGGGCAGATCTTGTCTGCTACTTCCACGTTCCCAACAACGTTCCGCAGTCCCCTCACAGAACATGTGGCTTACCCAGACACCCCACCAGCCCAGGGGAGGCCTGTGCCCCCCAGGGGTCCTGGATCAGGCTGGCCCTCACAGCCTAGCGGAACACCGTGTGTTTAACGGCCACAGCCGTATACTAAAGGGGTGTCACCCTGCAGGTGCCACGCCCCGAAAGGGCAGTGCCACCACGGCCACAAACACGGAATCCTCAGCACGTCAGACAAATGGCCCTCTGTGTGCACTCCAGGCAGCTCGGGGGGAACAGCCTTCATCCCATCCCTGAGGCACAAACTGCGGCCAACACACAGGTTCTGGCCCCCGCCCCCGTAGCACAGGCAGACGAAGGGAGAGTCCTTCGGTGCCGTCCACCTGGGTTGCCCATCCCAACACTCTGCACAGCCGCTGGCACCGCAGTGACGTGAGGCGTGGGCCATTCGGCACCAGGGCCAGCCAGGCCACGCAGGGTGCCCAAGCCTGTGCCAAGCAGGAAGACAGAAGCCTGGGCTGGTCGCTCAGAGCAGTCTTAACAAACAAACAAATAAACAACCATGGGGAGGAAGCGTGTCGTGCCATGACAGGTTGGGCAATGCTGGCATCCCATACGGCTCCAGGCCAGCAACTCCACTTTCAACCCACCTCCCCACCAACGTGCTTAGGAGCGCAGAGGAGGACGCCCAAAGCCTGTGGGCGACGTGCTGGCAGGATGGCATCCATCAGGAGTGGTGCGCCAAGGGCCCTGTCCCTAGGAGGGAACCTGGCGTCTCACATGGCTATGTGAACGGGGCAGGGTGAGGAGGGCTAGCCCTCTGCGGGGCTGCTTCCCTCCACTTCCGAGTGAAGGGACACACACTTGCCAGGCAACGCCCACAGCCCCCCTCGAGGGGTGGCCACCTGTCAGGCAGTGGCCTCGGCATGGTGCAGGGGCCCACAGCCCTCCCTGCACTGCCTGAGTTCCTCTCCCAGCCCTGGTCCTGATCCCAGCTTCCTGTAGCAGCTCTGTGCCAAGGAGGCGGTGGTGCCAGCTCAGGCAGGGAGGCGGTGGTGCCAGCTCAGGGAATCGGGCTCTCGTCACCCACAGGGGAGGCTGACTGCATCCCAGGCTCCCAGCTTTCACCCTGACCCACGGAGGACATTTGAAGAGTGAACCGTGAATAGCAAATCTTTCTGCGCTTCTGGGGAAGGGTGGGGATGGACAGGACTTTTCAGAAGCAAAGAGCCTAGGGGTGGACGGGGCACCTTTCTCCCAGGCAGGCTTTCCAAGCGCCCATCCTTGGCAGCAACTCCATGCCCATCCCTGGCGGGTCCACCTCGCCACTGCCCAGAGGCAGGAAGCAAGCCACAGGCAACCCAGGCCAGACAGCTGCCCTGCTGCTGCCGTCTGCCACTCTTGGGCCCGTCACTTTAGAATGGAAGGCTGTGGCCATCTGGCCCCTGTCCACCTGACAGCCTTCTGTCCTTGCGCTTGCAGACATTCCCCACGCGCCCTGTCGCACTCCTGCCTCGGAAGCTGGGCTGTGTGGGGGAGGCCACCGACGGGAGGCGGACAGCTGTTATTTTTAGAAGGCCATTTAGAATTGGCTTGGAGTCAATATTTTGATAAGAACTCTGCCTGTGCACTGCTTGCCATGACCTCGAAAGCCTTCCTGGCTAGCCTTAGGTTCACGTTCAACTCCGGCTCCACCCTGGATCTGTCCACTATGCAGCACCCTGGAAGGTCACACCCATGAAGCACAAGGCCATAGGAGACCCCGCCAAAAGGAGACCTCGCTAACAGGAGACCCCAACAACAGGAGCCCTGGCTAACAGGAGACCCCGCCAACAGAAGACCTGGCTAACAGGAGACCCCACTAACAGGAGACCCCACGAACAGGAGAACCTGCTAACAGGAGACCCTGCTAACAAGAGTGCCCCCATTCACAGGAGACCCCAGTAACAGGAGCACCTGTTCTTCTGAACCAACATGACATTGCAGTTCTCTTGCTGGTGGTCCTAACGCCCTCAGGTTTAAGGACCCACTCCTTCCCGCTGTTTGTGGTAACTTGGGGGGCTGCTAGCGGGCTTGCTGGGGGGCGGGTCACCCACGAAGCCCCCTCGTCTGCAGGCCCAGGCTCTATGGCCGCAGCAGCGACCGACCCCTGCAAAGGCGCCGGCGGGCCTGTGTTCCCATCAAATGTTATCACAGAAACGGGGTGGCGACGCCGGAGGGCCTCGGCGTGCTGCGCCGCCACAACTGGAAAGGTGGCTCCGAGGACGATGCCATCACATCTGGAGTTCTTTTAGGGAACCTTGATTTCCCGAACACTAGAGAGAAGCGACCTTGATGCTCGGACCCCTGAGCAATCTTGACTCTGAAGGCCAGAACATGCAAACCAGCTCTGTCAAGTGACTCCCCAGACACACACACACACACATACACACACACACACACACACACGCCAGCAAGCTGCGGAGAGGGGAGGGCACAGGCGGCTGCAGCTCGCCAGCACCCTCTGGGCATGGGCACGGCACGCTGTCGGATTCTCTGGCCAACAAGGAAGTCCTGGTGAAGGCAGGTGAATTACCAAGTTACCAGCCTGGCAGCCGAGGCCGGCACCAAGGGCAGCCACCACAGCCTGAGGACCGGGGAACCCCCCAAACGCTGTCACCGTCAGCAAGAAAAAAGCAGACAATGTGCCCAACTCAGGCAGCTCTGTCACTGCTGTGTGCTGCACCAGGGATAAAGGAAGAGCACCAGAAGGGCCAGGCGCTTCCCAGGGAGCACTCGGCACGCATCCTGCCCCGAGCCAGGAAGACCCCTTGGGTGGTACATGAACCAATGTCCCCAGCAAGCAAACCGGCGACCACCGCCTAGTGGCTCGACAGGCCCCCACACGCTGCTGGCTCCCCACGGGAGGCAGCCCAGGTGTCCCCGGCCACAGCACTGTCAGGGTCCAGCAGGGCGGCAGCGTCACCCCAATGCATGACCGACAGTGTGACAGCTCCGACCCATGGCACAGGCACCTGAGCCGCATCGGCGGGGGCCACGGGACCCTCAAGTGCCCTCCAAGGGCCTGCTCCCCGCCTCCCCTCGGACGAGCAGGGCTCTGAGCCCCTTCCGCGGCAGACCCACCAGCACCTCTCCCCGCCCAGCCTGGTGCAGCGGCCTACCGGCTGCCAGTGTGGCCTGGCGATGGGCGGCTGCCAGGGAAGACCCACCAGAGAAGCGGATGTGAGAGCACGTACCGGCCCCTTACCTTTTGTCCTTTATCCTTTTGAAACACAAAGACGGGTGGAGCAAGGGCGGGCTTCTCTGCAAAAAGAAAAATTGGTTTTTTTCCCCCCAACACTACATTCACACAGCAAACAAAGGTACATTCGTCTGTCATCGACTGAACAAACACAGTTAAGCAAAGCCAGAACACAAAGTGAGCCCGCTGCGGGTGTGAGGACGCAGGCGGGCAGGGCGGGGAGCCACCCGCAGCGGCAGGTGCCACGTGTCAGGCGGAACCTCCTCAACTCCACATCCGGGCAACTGAGTTGGCTCTTACTGGCCGTGTTCAACCTGCAGGCCGGGCTCACCAGTCTGTGCCCAGGCCCTCTGGAGGCCAGCTGCAGCTGCCGCCCATTCCCTTGGGGAGGTTCTGTGCCCCGAAGGGGGAAGGACAGGGTAGCCTGTAGTTCCCTGGTCCCAGGAGCATGTTTTACTCCCCGGGCCAGCCAGGCCCGCAGCCTTTTGCCTCCTGGCACTGGGGGCAGCTGGGATGCCCCCGAGGTGCACTGTGGGACATGCAGATGGCAATTGACCTGACCTTACAAGGCAAGCCCCATGGTCTGAGCCATTCAAGCACAGGGGCCGGCGTGGGGGTGCTTACTGTCAGCAGGCCCTGGGCCCCGCACTGCCCTGAGAGCCACAGCCACAGGCACTAGAGGCTCACCTGGAACCGGGCCCTGGCACAGCATTAGCTCAGACACCCAAGAGCTGGGGAGCCCCCGGGAGAAGGAAGTGGTGCCCCAGGCCCAGAGGCACGGCTGTACTGCCAGGGCTACCCCTGGGGACGTGCTGGGGGGCAGTTGAAGGGGTGTCCCCAAGGCAACTGGAAGGACACCCTAGTTCCCACAGCCCCAGGCCCGCTCCCAGAGCAGTTGGGCAGGCGGCTGTCATGATGGCATCTCTGCCCACGCAAGGTCCACAGCCAGTACCAAGTACAAGGGGCGCAGGTGCGGGTGGCAGGGTCTCTAACCAGGCTGTCACATGTCCCTAAGCCAGCCTGCACCTCTGCCCTGGCTCTCTACTCAGGGACCTTCCTCCCCAACCCTGGGGCAGGCGACCACGGGGCTGCTGGGCTGGGCAGGGGGCAGGTGACCACGGGGCTGCTGCAGCTCTGTGTCCCACCAGGGCCTCAGACGGAGCAAAGCGGCTACTCTAAATCCTGGCAGAGACCCTGGTGGAGCCCGGCCCAGGAAACCACCAAACGTGGATGCCCTCCTCAGCCACAGCTTGGTCTGCGCAAGGGCGTAGGCCTGCCAGGGGCACAAACCCTGGACTCGCCTCCAAGCAAAGCTCAAATGCTCCCCGCTCTTCCGAGCAAGTGGCTGCCACCTGGTGTGTCACATGCAGGGGACCTCCCCACCTGCTAAGGCCCAGAGAGCTCACAAGATGGCAACCTCTGCCAGGCACTGCCTGGGCACACCAGGAGGGGCTAACGGCATGAGCTGCGAGCCCTGGGTGCCAGATGGAGGGAGAGCTCTGAACCTGGGCCCAGTGTGGGCTGGGGTGGAGGAGGAGGAGGCGCGAAAGGGCCAGTCCATAGAAGATGGAGGTCAGACATGCTCTCCCAAACAGCCCTGTCCCCCCTCCACCCCTATGCATATCGATACCCACACCCCACTTCACATCCGGGGGCGGGGTGCTGTGCAAACACCTCAGGCAGAGGGCCTAGAGGGGTGAGCCCCTAGATAGGGAGTCAACCGCTTCCACTCCAGCCTCAGCCCCCGCAGGGAGGCAACGTCTGTGTGCATTCCGTGCCAGTCAACCAGGGCTCTGCTGCCAGGACACACTGGGACACCTGCTGGCGGCAAGCAGGAGGTTCACCCGGAAAGGAACCTGGAGCCCCCACCTCACCCAGGGCACCAGAGCCTCACCCCTCGTGACGATACGGGGTGATGCAGCGACCTCCCCCTCATGAGCACCCCCCAGCCTGCTCCCGGTGAGCGGCCAGAGCCCACCACCTGCATGCCCAGGGGCAGGGACGACGGGGGTGCTGGCGGTGGTGTGGGGGAATTCTACCCACCAGAGACCTTCCAGGGACCCGGGTCCTCCCAAAAACCCAAACCCGCATCAACACACTCTGCACCCCACCCCCAGATTCCTTCAGGCTCGCCTCAGCTGTAGGTTTTGGTTCTATACGCAAAGGAGTTGGGGGAAAAGCAGCCTATTTTGGGGGGGCTGGGCAAGACAGAGAAGGCTGGGAATGGGAAGGGGCCGTCCTAGAGTGGCTGCCCACACAGGTCAGCACAGTTAGACGTCACACCTTCCACACGCTTTCCAACACCTTGGGGTGGGGGGTTCGGGCACTGCCAGGTACAAGGCAGGAGCGCTGAGCTGGCCACCCTCTTCCTCCCCGGCTCACCACACAGGGACTGCTCAGTACCCTGGTGGCCCGTGGAAGCTGTGGGGCAACGGCCTCTGTCCTGTGTGTGGCCTCTGGACCCAGCCAACACAGCACGCAGCCCCCTCTCTCTGCACCTGTCTCCAACCTGCCAGATGCGAGGGTCCCCCCTGTACCCTCTCACCATCCTCACATCCCACCCACTGGAGCCCGGGACCCACGCCTCAGCCATAGGAAGGGCTCAGACCCCATGCCCAACCCCCCTTGGCAGCAGTTCTGGGCATGAGACAGTTATCTGTGTCAGACCCCCATGGGACCCTGGAGGGTGTCCTGCCGGCCAGGAGCTCACATCACCACCCACGGAGGCACTCTGGGGGCCCTTCTGGGAGGACGCATCTGAACAGGACAAGCAGCACGTGGCCAGCTCACGGGACCCAGGGTGGCACTACAGCCTTGTACCCCAGCGATGGCCAAGGGTGACAATGGTACGCAGCATGGACCTCTACCCGTGGTTGAAGCCTCAGGCTGCTCGGAGGCCACGGGCCTCTCCCCTGCAGGGTTGCAGCTTCCCTCCTAACCCAAGGTGGCACCCCAACACAGGAATGACAGTGTAGGGCCCCAGGGGCTGGGAGCAGGTGCATGGGGGCCTGGGCACCCACACACACAGCAGGGTAGACGGCATTGCTGGCTAGGAGAAGGGCCAAAACCTGCTTCGTCATGGAGCTCACGGGTGTCACGAAAAGCAGTATGCGCAGACTTCAAAATAAACTCCTGTACTCCAACGATTTAAAAATAGGTTGATCGGGCCCAGCGGAGTGGCCTAGAGGCTAAAGTCCTCACCTTGAATGTGCCGGGATCCCATAAGGGCGCCAGTTCTAATCCCGGCAGCTCCGCTTCCCATCCAGCTCCCTGCCTGTGGCCTGGGAAAGCAGTGGAGGACGGCCAGAGCCTTGGGACCCTGCACCCGCGTGGGAGACCTGGAAGAGGCTCCTGGCTTCGGATCAGCTCAGCTCCGGCTGTTGTGGGTACTTGAGGAGTGAGCTAGCAGATGGAAGAGCTTTCTGTATCTCCTTCTCTCTGTAAATTTGCCTTTTTAATAAAAATAAATCTTTAAAAAAAGTTGATTTAAAAGGCAGAGCGATGCAGAGGAGAGACACTCTCAGTGGGCACAGGGCTGGTCCTGAAGCCGGAAGCCAGGCATTCTAGGTGGTCTCCCACAGGGTGCCAGGGACCCAAGGACGTGGGTCATCACCTGCCCCAGCAGGGGGGCAGAAACTGGCCCTGACAGGGGACACCGGTGCTGCAGGAGGCTTAAGCACCCCATTCCCTGGGCTCTGTGCAGGACGCCTGGAATGTGGGTGCCAAGGGCCAGGAGCAGGACAGTTTCAAACAGCCCAGGGATGAGGACTCCAAGGCTTTATCTGGGCCTGCTCAGACGGTGGCAAACCTTCACCAGGCAATGACTACAAGGGAGGAAGCCTTGGGCAGTTGGGGGCAGCAGCTGCCCATCCAGGAAGGGGGAGGCGGGTCCTGCTGGCCACTGCGAGGGTCTGCCCCAGCCAGGGGAACAGGCTAGCAGGAGCCGAGACACTCCTGGGCTCAGCCCTGGCTTCCACAGCAACGCTGGCATTCCCCAGCACTTCCTCACGTGCTGGGGTTTACTGCCCGGTTCCACTGGGTCTCTGTGGCTACCTTAGGAGATACTGGACCAACACCCTTCTGTCCAGGGGAGGAGATGCAAATGGCCTGTCTGAGGTGGAGCCAACCCTGCAGGCTGGGTGGGCCCAGGGAGCCCACAGCACACATAGGAGGCGCCTCCTCCCACCACTCCCGCTCAGCCAGGCCTCAGAGCAGCAAACAGACGCCCCATTCTTTCAACAAACAGTGGCATGACTAAAGCGGCTGTCAGGGAGAGTGCTGACAGTAAGATCAAGGGGCCGGGGCCGAGTTCCGGGGTCGGTGCGGGGCCTCCCGGCAGGCTCCAGAACTCCATGTGCACCGACACCAACGGCAGTTCCCTGGGGAAAGCGAAGCACTCAGGCCGTCCGGAAAAGCACCAGAGCCGCATTCCAAGGAGTACATTCAGCCACGAAGCAAGTCGCACTCTGTCCCAGATGTTTAACCAATGGATTCTTCGCATAGCATTCATAATCCACAGGGCAGCTGGGCCATCTCCTGCCCCTCCCGCTGTCCTGGAGCCCCGGGGCCCCTCGCTGGGATCACCTCCAGCCCCACAGAAGCCTGGCGTGGCTCTGCCTTCTCGGCTCAGTCCCCTCCTAGCTGATGCCCCCAGCCGGAAAGCTGCTTAGGGCTCTGCACCCCGTGTCAGCAAGGTACTTAGTAAAATTAGCTGTAATAGCGGCCAACGTCTCTTTAATCTTCTTATCTGGGAAAAAACATGGAAAGCATCTCACGGACCCAAGGAGCCTGAATCCCCCGGAGACACAGCACGCTCCCCTCCGAGCCGGTCACTGGGCTCAGGAGTGACTGTGATCGGTCTTCCATAGCAACATGCAGACACATCTGTTATCTCAACTCACCACCAACAAATTCCAGGCCACTGCCAGGGAGACCCTCCGAATCTCCACGCCCGGTCCGGCCGGTGGGAGGGCAGTTATCAGGAGCGGGCAGGGGGATGGCATCTTCCTGAAGTGCCCTCCACCTGGCTGCTACCTTCACCCCCTGCGACCCCACGTGACCT